TATTGTTATGGCCGCTCCTGACCCGAGCGATCATCCTGGTGGGCTGCCCCTAATCAGTATTTTTTCCTAAAGGTATTTTTACCGTCCAGGAATCCAGCTCTCACGACTCTAAAGACCAAACCCTGGATTCCCCGAGGCATGGCTCATAAAGGGTTAACAGATGGGCGTTCCCCAGCCCTGGCTAATTGCTTTCACCCCCACCCTCCCAATCTTTATTATTATTATTATTTTTAAAAAACCAATCAGGGCAGTCCTGCCCACCCTCCCCGCCCCCTACCGCTGTAAATATCTTCTATTTTTGATAGTACACCGGAGGGTCTTGGATGTTGGTGGCCTTGGTTTTGATGTTGGCACCCTGGCTGTCACACTGTCTGGTTCAGGCCAAGTCCCTTTGCATCTGAGTCGTTTTCTAGTGTCATTAGGTCCTCTGTGTCCCTTTCACCAGCCAATGGTGACTGTCCCTTGGACGTGGGCCTGCTGTTGAGATTTCTTGACAGGGAGAAGAGTTCTGTCCATTTTTTCCTGTGCCTAACAGCATAATTGCCTTTTCCTATGTAAATATTGCAATGGGGGACCAAGACAGAAGTAAATGAGCCTTTCCCCCTGCATCAGCCCTGTGTATAAAGCCATTATCCTCGGATGCACTGTTTGCCCTGGTTCAAACCGGTTCTTTCTGGCGTCCCCTCCCTCCCTCCCTCCCTGGGAGCCACTGCTTGAAGAACATGTATGTTCCTACCTTGTATGTACGTGTGCTCCTCCCTCCCTGAAAGCGCTGACTATGGGGAAATCTTTTAGCTGCTGTTTTTAGACACAGAGAAGTGGAAATTGTGTGGAAGAAGCAAACCTGAAACAATTTGCACAAGGCAAACAGTTGGAAAGACAAATGGGCCTGCCAAACCGAACAGTTCCTGCCCCAAGAGCTCTTAGGTATCAAAGTGTTGTCCTTCCCCCCTGCGTGCTGGCTGAGATCATGCCATTGATGAACTGCCAGGTCAGGGGAGGAGGGCAGAGACCTCGTGTTTACATCCGCGTTTCTACGTGTTTTAGACAGACAGTTGAAGGCCTGTGCTCTTATTTCACTAAGGAGAAACTAATGTCAGCACCTGTTGCTACTGACGGTGGATTTTTTTTTTTTTAAATAAAAACGTTTACAGATCAAATGTGAAATAAATACAAATCAAGTGGTTCTGTTGTCTGGGTTTTCGAAAGCTTTAAGACTCTGGGAACATCTGATTTTATGTATTTTTTTTTAATAAAAAATACATGTACATTATAAAATGGCTTTGGATATGTGAATGGTAACAGAACTATTTAAGAAGTGTTTCTTACCTGCCGGCCACTGTGGTGAGCCTGTTAGAGGCATTGCCTTATTCAGTCTTCCCCCAGGCTCTACGAGGTAAATTCTGTGGGCTTTTTTGGAGAGGTTTTTGCTATAGGGTGTGTGTGCTTGCCAGAGAGATGGAAAGCGAGAAATCATCCCCTGGGGGGATGGCCACACTGCAGTCTCCTTCTCCTCCATTCTCCTCTCGGAATCTTGGGCACGCACACACATACGGCCGGTGTGAGTTTAAGTCCCCGGGTCCAGGATTCGAACCACGGTCAACTACATGAGAATCCAGCAACATAGTCATTATGCCAACTGCTGTTCCCCAGGTAAATTCTGTTATTATCCCCATTTTATAGGTGGAGAAACTGAGTCTCAAAAGGCACACGAGGGGCCAGCAGGTGACGTGGTGGTTAAGGTGCTGGACTCCTACATGACCAACCATGGTTCAAGTCCCAGATCTGGTGGCTTGCTTTCTCATATTCCCTTTCTCTTTCTCTCTGGTCAAAATAAAAATTCATAATAATAAATAAAATTAAATAAACCTTAAAAAGAAAGCATGCAATTTGCTTAAAGTTAACAAGAAATGTGTCACATTGCACTTTATCTGGTTCTTAAGGTCTGTACTCTTAACCCCAGAGACTTGCCAGTCACAACTTTACAGTTCTCAGGATACTCACAGCGGTGGGGTCTGAACACAGAGTATGCTATACACACCAGGTGTGGGATATAGCCCAAGGGTGTAGATACCCACAAAGTGCATGCTTACCCTAAAGTGTCTATATACGCTAACATTTGTATATACCTCAAAGTGCGTGTCTATCAAAAAATGTGGAATGTACTCCAAAATGTGTAGTGCACCCTGAAGTGTGAAAATATACAACACGGGGACACGCCCCACAGCATAATCTATGCTCGAGGTGTTCTATGAACACCCAGATAGAACCATGTACTAAGTGGGGCTTGAGTTCTGGCCACACATCCTTCGTGTTCCACCACTTCTGTCATATCAAAGTCTACTGTGCTGTCTAGGAGGGCTTAAGGTCCTCACCCCACAGTTATGGGAATTGGAAGCTGGAAGGGCCCTTAAATATCCAGAAATCCAACCCCTCATCTGAGAGATGAGGAGGTGGGCAAGAGGCTGACTCCTCAGGATCCTGCAGCTCTGGGTGACGAGGCCCTGGACCCAGGCTGCCTTTTAAGGAAGCAGCTGACAGGTGTGTCGTAGTTCTGTGTGTAAAGTCAGGTGCTGTGCTAAGAGCCGCTCACTGAGGAGAGGTTTGAGGGGCAAACACAATACAGGTTGTGGTCTTGGGGAAAGCCAGACTTCATAAGCCCAGCCACCTAGAACATGAGAGCAGACCAGCTCTGGACTCCCCGTAGAAGCAGGGCCGCCCTCTGCATCCTCTGGGAAGCACGCGCAGCATCTCCTCGCCTTCCTTTGTAGGTGGGGGTGAAGGGGTGTGTGTATGCAGGGGTGGGAGGGTGGAGGCACTGAGAGGGTGGTCACTGAGAGGCCTGGGAGGGGGAAGACTGTGGTTCTCAGGGGTCTTTTAGAGGTGGGAAGGAGTTTCCTGCCATCTCCTGGATCCTGCAGATAGGAGGGTGGGCAGGCACTTGGCTCTGGTGAACTTTGTTAGGGCTTCACGAACCAGCCCCCCACCCTGGGCACCAAGGCTGGCTCCCTGGTCTGCTGTTGTGGCCTGTCTCCCACCCCACCTGGCCTCTCCTCTCCCTCCCCACTTCAGGGCACACGTGGCCCTGAAGGCAAACAGTGCTAGACAATAGGCCAGCCTGGCAGGCCCCCAGCCACAGGGGCAGATGCAAACACCGCTTGCTGTTGACTCTGTCTTGCCGTCTGCCCGAGAGGTGTTTGCCTTGCTGTTCTCCCCAGAGGCCTGCAGCCTGGACAGGGTGGGCAATGGTGTCTCTCCTTCCTCCTTCCCACCCCTTTTCTAGCAGTAGAGAAGCCTCAGAGATGGGTGGGGAGTGGGGAAAGTGAAGGAGAGAAGGCAGGAGCCCAAGTTTGGATGCCGGGTCTCCGAGGCCACAGTAGGAATCACTTCATTCATTGCAAAGGGACTGCGAAGGTGCAGGGCAGGGAGAGGAACAGAAGGGCAATGTCTGCCACAGGGACCTTAGCCTAAAGAACAGGTGATAAGACTAACCCCACAGCTTCCTGTCCATAGTATCTTCTCCCCATTATCTGGGAATGGAGGGGAGGGGTCTGTCTTTGCAGCACTCTTACGTAGCTTCGGTTGGGGTATGAAATGCCTTTGAGTTTTTGAATCTGAAGTAAATCTTGCTAGATTCACTCCTACAAGGTACACCAGGCTGGGGAGAAGAGGGGTGCTCTCATGTGAGCCTGGGCAAGAGCAAAGTCTCCCCTCCCCACGGCTCCGTTCTGTTTTTCCTATGCTAAGGGATAGAGAAGAGAATGATGAAAACCTCCATTGAGACTTTCTCCCCTTTGTGATTCTGTCATCTAGTCTGAGTGTTAGAGCAGGAAGTGTTCCCAATCATCCTTGGCTCCCAAGACTACAGAAGAGAGACCTGGGACCCAGAAAAACTGTCCGGTGAGTTTGCTTCCCAGGGTCCCTTGAGCCCGCCCACGCCGTGACTCTTGATTCGGCACTACGTATACCAAGGAGGAACTTTATTTTGTTGTTGGATGCAGTGAGTTCCCAATAACCCCACAAGATCCCTCTGTGTCTGCCCTGTGCCAAGCACCATGCTGGGCCCCCTGCCAGTTTTCTTCCCTTGTGCAAAGTCTACCACTTGTCCCTGTGGGACTTAGCAGAGCTCAGGGACTGCCCCTGCCTTCTGGAAGCTTTAGAGCTGCATGGAGAGACAGGATTGCCTGTGTGAAGCACTAAACCCTATTCGATAGTGACTTTTTTTCACCTGAGGACAGTCACCAGCAATGACAGGTACTCTGAGTGTGCATTGGGGGAGGTGGTGTGGCAGCGAGCCCAAGGACCATGGAGCTGGGAGGTCTAGGTCTTGGTTGAGGGAGGGGGGGCAGGGAGGGCAGCTCTGCTTCTAGGAGCTGAGCCTTGTGGGACCAATGTCAGGCCTGGGCAGTGGCCACTGAGCCCAAACAGACCTCAGCTTTCATTTCTCCAACCTGATTTGTGGGGATGGCATGGCAAGTTCCTGTCCCACTTGAGACACCTTCCAGGAAGTCCATCTCCTTGACTCAAGGAGCATAGTAGGATCTAAGTTCCCAGGCCTATGTTCTTTCCAGAGTCAGGGCCCAATATCGGGCTTGCCCTCAGGCCTTGGTCCTGGGTCTTGCCACCACTGCAATGGGCCTGAGGACCTGGGATGCTAGGAAGGGTACCTTCCTCAGCAGAGGGCATGCCTGCGAAGGAACCCATGTGAAGTTACTGCATGCAACTGCAACACCAGGGTTTGTTTTGAACTGATTTATTTAATTGCCAGAAATCTTGGAATTTAGAGTTAAATTAAAAAAAATTAAAAAAAAAAATCCTGTTGGGCACTAGGAGGCCTGGGTTCTAGTCCTAGGTTAGCCTGTTGTTGTTGTGCGAGTATTTTAAGTTGATTTTTAAATCCATGATAGTGCTGGGAACCAGCAGTTAGCGTGATGGCTATGTCGCT